TTGTCTTTGTTTTCCAAGGGAGGGTGGAGGGCATGGCAAGGCAAGGTTCTGTTCCCTTGGGTTGGAATACAGAAATGGCCCCTCTGCAGGAAGGGAAGCAGAATCACTGTCAAGGTTGGCTGGCCTGAGTTCCCTCCAGAGCCCAGCCAGCCTTGGGTAAATGGGCTGTCTCTGTCTCGGGGTATTGCATTTATTTTTGCACCAGGGGCAAACAGCAGTCAGGGGCCTTTCATGCTAGGTCTGCAGTCCTAGAGTGAACTTGACCCTTAGATTAGCAGCGTTCAGGACGTCTGTCCTGTTAGTTTTCAGTAGTAGGGGATGTTGGGAGAACCCTTCAAGCACAGCTTTGCATATTGAATAGAATTCATTTCCTCCTCTGATCTTCCGACTGTTCTCAGGAGTCAGCCTACCGGTGGGACTTCAAGAGGAAAGGTGCTGTTGGGAGCCCCCCTCTGAGCCTCTACACCTGTGGGCCAGATGTACGTGGCCTTCTGGCAAAGCCTATCTATCCAGCCTGGTGCCCAGAGAATATAGCTTCAGCGGCAGCAGGGTTTGCTTTTCAGTGTGGGTGAGCAATAGCATCAGAACAGTCCACCCATAGATTGATTTTTCTTAGATAGATTTGTTTTTCCACAGAGGTCTGTCTTTGACCCACACACCTAATCACAATCACTAGGTGTGTGGGTCTGATGGAGCGGTTCAGGTGAGCTGGGGGAATTCATTCCAGGAACTCCAACGCCATGTGGGGACCCGTGGCCCTGTCAACGGTGCCCAGTGAAAGGCCATTCTGTGGGGTGGCAAGAAGCCTCAGTGGATTCTGGGAGAAGAGGTTTGAGAGCAGGAGGACAAGGTCATCCGACTTGGGTTTCATCCCCTCTCTCCTCTCTCTTTTCTGTTGGGTGCCCTGATCTGATCTGAAGTTCAAAGATTGTTAGGTGAATGCCATCAGTTTTTGTCACAAAATCATTCCCTGTGACTGGAATATACACTATATATGACGTCTGTTGTTGAGCACTCTATTTCTAATCATTGTAATTTTGCTGGAATACTTGCTGTTCATATAATAACCACGATCCACCAGCTCTCCATTCCAGACCAATAACTTTGCCTGAACGTGCTCTTTGTTCAGGAAAAAAAATAAAAATAAAAAGGAGGTAATTTAACATCCCTGGTGATAGTCAACAAAGCCAATGTTGAAACCAGAAGATGCACAGATAAAAGCTTTCCTGGGGACACAAGGTGCTGAGCAGATGAAAGCCACCTGGCTCACTCACTCTGGGCTAACAAAAGGACCCTGTCTGCAGCCTCCACTGAAAGGGTAAAGAGAAATGAGAACCTAGGGACTTCCAGAAGAATCCACTGCACCTGTAATCCAAAAGACTTGGGAGACTGAGGCGGGGGAATTGCAAATTTGAGGCCAGTCTGAACAACTTAGCAACATACTATCTCAGAACAAAATATAAAGAATGTCTGGGATGAGTGGTAAAATACCCGTGGATTCAAGCCCTAGTACTACACAAAATCAATCAATCAATCTATCTATCTATCTATCATCCATGGGGGCTGGTCTTGGTCTAGATGTCCAGAAGAGCTGCTGGCTCTAAGGCTGAGTGAGTGAGTCATCTTATTAGGCACAGCTGGGAGACTGAAGCCTTGATGTAGCACTTGTCCTATAAGAATACTTCTTGGTCATTGATTTTTCTTAGGAACTTTGCTGATTGTTTCTACTTACCATTGCAAAAATTTGGAGATCATGTGGACCAAGGGCCTCACTTTATGGATTTCTAAACACAGATCTACAGATCCCTGTACACCTTGAAACCTCGGTGGCTTGCAATGCAAAATGCTCAGGGTGATGGAGGGTTACATGATGGTTACTCTAGTTGGGATCTGGGATGTCCTCCAAAGGCCTCCATACTTAAAGGCTGGCTCCCCAGTGTGGCACTATTGGGAGATGGTGGTGGAAACTCTGAGAGGCAAGTTTTAGGTAACTGGGTGCCTGCACTTGAGGGGGATTGTGAGATGCCATTTCTTTTTCATTTCCCAGCCACCACCAGGTGAGCACTTTGCTCTACCATGTGTTCCTTGCCATTATGAGCTGCCTCACCACAGGCCTAGAAGGAATGGATCCATCCAACCATGGACTGAAACTTCCAAAACCTTTCCTATTTGTAAGCTGATTTATCTCAGGAATCTGCTGCAGTAGCAGAAAGAGGATTAACACAGTAGCAAAACTTCAGAACATGTTGTGAGTGTGTTCTTCCCCTGGAACAGAGAGAGGACATTGGTGTCTGGAGGCTTCCACAAAAGAACTTTTGGATTCATTTTATTTATTTATTCTTTTTACCTTATTCCTGCTTCTATCTCTGCCCTCAAACCAAAAACAAAAAATCAAGGAAAAAAATTTTTTAAAAAATTGCTTCACTTTCACTAGTAGCCAGAGACTTTTGAGTTTGGAAGACCATGACCTCCTTCCACTGACTCAGAATGGTCAGTCAGTCAACAGTTGACAAATATATATTTGCTTATTTCCCCTGTAGTACATTCATCAGGAAAGTAAATGTACCACGTCCATATATGGTAGTCAACTCTTGCTTCTCAAAGTTCACATTCAAAATGGCGCTGGTGTTGAACTGGATTGAATGCAACCTCCAGGGTTGGACCAGGATTATACCTTTCTCTTAGAATGAATAAACATTCATGATAAAGAGGAGCTGTCATGGGACAATATGATAAGGGAGACCTGGGTGATTCCACGTTACCCTGGAGCCTCTCACTACCATGGCCTGCCAGCCTTCCATGGTGCAGTTCCAGGGAAATGGAGGCGTCGAAGGATACCAGTGGGAGGGAAGTCCATCTCCATGTCTCTCTACCAGCCATATTTCTCCAGGCATTTCCTCTTTGAGGAAGCCTGGCATCAAATTCTCTGAGAGGCTGTGAGTCCCCCCCAGCTTTTGCCAGTGCTGGGTGGAGAAGGGACACTGTGCCTGACTCAATCTTGGCCCTGAAGGGAGCATTCTCCTATCGTGGTCCCTGGATGATGCTGGGAAACATGGTGGGCTATTGCTTTGTTCGCTTCTGCTTTTTTTTTTTTTCCCCTTCTTTCTGAGCAGCAGATGCAGGCTCCTTTAGTACATTTAAAAGAAAGAGACTTGGTATACAAGGAGCTAACGAGAAAAAAAAAAAAAAAAGAGCAGAAATTGCTAACCACCTTCAGGTAATTAAATGACCGTGGGTTTCTGAAATCCGCCCAGTGGCTCAATTGTTTTTGTTTTTATTTTAGCCTCCACACATAACACCTCCACCAGATGCACCAGTCTGGAAAAATGGAGAGAAGACACAACTGTTTTGACTCGGCTCCCGTCGAGTTCTGTGCCAATTTCAGATGCAAAGAAGAGGCTGCTTCCTGGGGCCATGTCCCCTGGCCTTGGGGGATCAACAAGCCCTTCTGCCTCTGTCCCCAAGATAAGAGGCCAGCCGGGCTGATGAGACTGAGTAGCCTTTTACCAGCTTCTCATGCCAAAGGTGTACCAGCTGCTGACCAAGTCATGTCTCTCCTATTACCTTAAATCCATCCTGTCTTTGTTAAAGAGCAGTGGACCACACACACACACACACACACACACACACACACACACACACACAGAGGAAACTCCTACTTAAAGCCACTTTCTTCCCTTTTCCTGATGACAAATCAGGGGAGCCATTTTTAGCCAGACAGACTCCACTGCAGAGGGAGAGGGTCCTGGGTTGGTGGCTTCCATACTCTCTTTTGGTTTCCAACTGAAATTTGCCAGGAACTTTCTAGAAGTCAAGACAAAGCCTCTTTCTAGCTTTCTAGACTGGTGTATCCGGCAGGGGTTGTATGTATGGAGAGACCCAAAGAAAAAATAGAATAAAAAGCAACGAGTGGGGGGATTTCCAAGGCCTCTTGTCATTTAATTGATGGAGGTTCTCAGATTTCTGCTTTTCCTTTGTTCTCCTTCTTCCCTACTCAGTGGGGGTCATTCTGTCCCCCTGAAGCCCTCACCCCTCCTTGCCCTTACCTCTAAAATGGGCTGCTCTGTCCCTCCCCCAGCCCCCAGAGGCCTCCACTCAGCCATCAGGGCCCAGGCAAAATGGGCCTTGGGCTTCGCCTTTCTGAGCGCTCTGGACAACTAGCCATGGTCCCTCTGGAACAGGTGAAGGGTCAGCAGGTGTGGGGATGCGCTGTGTATCCATCTTTCCTCTAGGACACAGGTAAAAGAGCTCCCCTCCTGCCATTAAGGGTCTGCCCAAGTTGGGTTCCTGGCCAGGTCCTGGTCTGGGAGAGGGGGTGCAGACCATGAGGGGACTCCCTGGCCTCGCAATGCCCTTGCCTGTCCCTCGGGTGTCCCTGTGCTCTCCGCATCAGGACAGTGTGCTGCGCTCACAGCCGTGGGGCTTGCTGCACGGTCACAGCACCTGTGCAGGTATGTGAAGGGGGCTGGAAGGCACTTCCAAGTCTGGGCTGGGGGTTGAAGGTGCTGGGAACTGTTGGAGTCAGCACTGGCTGAGAGAGTGGACCAGGCTGGCAGGGAAGTCGTGTGGTGTTGCTGGAGAATTCAGTGGAATCTAACCAACACCGTATACAGTCATATTTACATTATCATCTGTCTCTCCATTCTAGATAGCAGCTCTTTAAAGTGCCCACTCTGTTGAGAACAACGGGCCCAGCAATGGGAGTCACCAGACCTGGAGTTGTTCTAGAACTTTCCTGATGTGTGGGGATCCTCCTGCTGGAGTGACCTGGGATGCCCCTTTGAAACAAAACATCCAGGTGGACCCTCACCCAGTCAGTCCCCACACAGAGTCTGTCTTGTTCTCTGCTTTTGTGAAGTGTCCCTTGAAAGCCAGGCCTGGAGAGGCACAGGGGGGTGCTGGGGGCTTTCCCCTCCTTTTTCCTCCTAAAGGAAGGCCTGCCTTGGGTATCCCGGGCTCAGAGCAAGCGGTGCTCACCCCGCTGGTTGCCAAACACCCACCTCGGGCAGCTTCACGCGGCCTTCCTGGAAGGAGCAAGTCTTGGGGTCATGGGTGCAGACGTGCCGATATTTACACCAGTGGCAGCGGTACGGGCTCTCCACGCAGGACAGGCACCTGGGCACAGAGGAGAAGAGGCACAAATCATAGAAGCTGGGTGACCCAAGCCCAAGGTCCAAGACTCTAAGATCTGGCAAAACATTTTAATATTAAGAGACCCCCCCTTCAATGCTCACGCATCCAATACAGAGCCATCCCTCCTCTCCCCAAGGCCGCAGGGAGCTAATAGTGCTCAGCCTCTTGCTGTTCACTGAGAGCTGGGAATGCTGGTCTCCCCAAAGCCCCCTCATTTGTCCTCCACCTCCACAGGGTGATAGTGTCCTTTGATGAAGAAGAGAATGAGCACATCTAGAGTTGAGGACCCTGTCTAGAAGCCATAAGATCTGGGGCAAGCTGGGTGCCAGGGCACACACCTGTAATAATAGCTACTGGGGAGGTTGAGACAGGAGGATCACAAGTTCAAGGCCAGTCTGGGCACCTGAGCCGGACTTTGTCTCAAAATTAAAAATAAAAAGGGCCGAGGATGAAGGTCAGTGGTAAAGCACCACTGGGTTCAATTCCCCAGTGCTAGGGGGAAAAAAAGAGGAGTTGGAGCAAATGCAAATTCAGGTTTTAATTCAAATTAACCCTGGGTCTCAGCTGTCCAAGGTCCACATGGAGCCGGCTACAGGCAGAAGCTACAGGCAGCTCTCACAGTACATGACCTCCTTCACGGTTGTCAACTCTACTCCCACCCTTTACCTCCAGGAAACAAAAGTCACTTATAAAAGCTCCTTGTTGCTTAAAAACGTGACGAGTTTCCCTGTTGTCAAAAACTCAAATGCCTTGCTACCGGCTGAGCCCTAGCCAGAGGAAAAGCCACAGCCCACACGGGGCTGGTGCTGTGGCCAGGAGGAGACCCGTATTTCCCATGCGCTGTTCTGCTGTCTGGAGGACCTTTCTCATTCCTTCCACTCAGCCACTCCTTGACCAAGCAGAGTTGGCCACTCTGGGCCTCCTCCCATGAACCTGCATGCTGACATGGAAAGGGCAGTCCTCACAGCTCACTGTCTCCATCTTCCAAGAGTATCCTAGGCCACCAAGTCCTGGAGGGCTGGGGTTGAGTCCTTGAGATTCTTTAATTTTTGACTCCTCTGTAGCTAGTGGGTAGCAGATTGCATGGCACATAGTGATACTTAGAATCATTTTATGGGCAGGATGGAAACTTCATACAGGATTTCATCTACCTCTGCTGCTTTCCTAGGGGGAAGAAGTTGAAGGAAGCCACCAGAGGTCAAGCCACCTACAGCCCCATGGCAGGAACCAGAAGAGAATCCTGGTGCCAAAGCAACTTTCTCTGGACTGGGAGGGGCTGGATGGTTCCTTCCTTAGGGCCGCAGGTAGAGCTAAACTTGGGCCCAATATTGCCGCAGTCTGGCTGGGCACAATTCAGGAGCCACTTGTCAAAAGAAACAAACTTTATTTTTAGAACCACACACGCCAAACAAAACAGCTCCTCAGGAAAAACCCTCAGAGCCCAACTGCCACCACCGGCTTCCCACAAGCCTCTCAACCTCCCCCACTCCTCCTGCTCTTGAGGCTGATTGGCTGGGTCGTGTGGGCGGAGCCAAAAAAGTCCCCCAGTGAGCAGCTCCGTGGTCTGAAAGGGCGGGGAAACAGCCCAATGAGCATCACCGCAGAGGAGCCAATCAGCTGGCAGCTAGAAGTTTGCTGGGGCCGCTGTGAGCCAATCATCACCTGGCAGCTGGAAGTTTGCTGGCAGGTGGAAGTTTGCCGGGGCCCCTTCAGCTGTGGCTCTCAACCCAATATGTCCCAATTAGATGGACAGACTCTAAAATTCCACCAGCCTAGAGTCTAGAAATGTCATTAGTCATGTCACCCACCCATCCTGCATAGAGGAGAACACAGAACAGCATGCTAAAGTGATCAGGGCTTTTGGACATCAGGCCTGTGGTTTCAAACCATGGGGATTCTATGGAACTCATTTGGAGAACACAGGAAGAGTTTGGGCAATTCTGAGAGAGAGGGGTTCCAGGTCCCTTTGGCCCTCCACCAAGTAGCTCCTTCTGTTTTATATTTTGGATATCCACATCTACTTTCAGTTGAAGAAAATTTTCTATGATGAAAAATTAAAAAAGGCTTGTCCACCTACAACTTGGTCCAATCCCATTATTAATTTATTTATTTGTTGGTTCAGGGGATTGAACTCATAGGCACTTGACTATGAGCCATACCCCAGCCCTTTTTCGTATTTAGTGACAGGGTCTCACTGGGTTGCTTAGTGCCTCAGTTTTGCTGAGGTTGGCTTTGAACCCGTGATCCTCCTGCTTCAGCCTCCCGAGCTGCTGGGATTGCAGGCATGTGCCACTATGCCTGACTAATCCCATTAATTTTATGGAGGGAATAATAATATAATAATAGTAAAAACAGGGGCAGTGCCTAGCCAACGAGCCAGGCAGGTCTAAGTGCTGCCCTCTTACTCAGGACAAGCAGGGCCGCTATGCAGGGTGGCAATAAGCACAGTGTCCAGCCTGCTCTGTTGGGACAGTGCTCCTGTGACGTCAGTTGCTAAATGTTTGAGTGCCAGCCTTGGAAGAGGTGCTCCTAGTCCCCTGTTTAGAGAGGAACTGGGGCACAGAATGGCTAAGGTTCCCAGCTTGCCTGACTCTGGGGCCTTAGTCCCTGCCCTCCATGCGTGTCTCCTGGAGATGGGTGTTGATGTCAAACAAAGTCAGTGCCAGAACCCGGCTTCCTGGCCTCTCAGGCCAGGGTCTGTTGAGCCTGCAACTTTCTGCTCCCCTCTGGTCCTTGCCACTCTGGTCCCAACCAGGACTGCAGGTGAGTGGCTAGACTACCTGCCAGCCTTAGGACACACAGTAGACTTCTCTTCCTCCTCCAGCCCCCTTTCTGAGCATGGTGCTTACTTCTCTGTTTTTCTGGTGAGATGGATGACACCCAATAGATGATGGGAATGAAACTGGTTAAAACGATTTATGCCAGGGAAGATGCATGGAGGGATTTGGAGAGCCCACCCCTCAGGTTCTCACTCTACGTTCTTTCTTGTTTCTGTTAATCCTGTAAGTAATGGAGGAGAGCTTTGGAGCCTCCACATGGTGAGTCCTGGGAACACGGCTGGGGTCTTCTAGTCTCTGCATGAACCTTGATCCCCGGTTGCTGAGTGCGTCTGGGAACACTTACGAGTTGTGCACGCTGCAGTTGTAGAAGACAAAGCTGGTGCTGGCGAAGGTCATGCCTGTCTCCTTGGACTTGAGTTGAAGCTGTACCACATGGTGGTCTCCTACAAAACAGAGCCAGCCAAGAAGTCAGGGGGAAGGCCAAGGCCATGCCAGAGTTCCACTGGTTGTAAAGTACAGGGGACGGGGATAAGGAGATCCTGCTCCTCTAGGGTCTGTGATTCAGAAAGACCATCCTCCAGACAACTCCCAAACAGCTCAGAGAACTGTCCCAGCCTCTCCTCCCTTTTACACAGTATTGCTTGCTCCCCCAAATATTCATTGCCTGCATGTGCATGTGCATGTGCCCACACACACACAAACAGGTCTTCAAATGTGCATTCATTCACATGCATTTTGTCCTTGGCAACCTCAAAGAATTACAGACACACTGAGGAGCAACCAGGGAGAAAAAACATGGAGACTCTTAAGAATACTGTCACCAACTGCACATGTGGTTTTGCATGTGTGTGTAAGTGTGTGCACACAAGAGCTCCTTCCCCATCTCTATACAGACAGGCCCAGTTCTGATGCCCCCTCCTCTGGGGGACTCAGGGCGGGAGACATGGGGATCCTCAGCTGGTAGAAAAGAGGAGCTGGAGCCCATGTTTAATTCACAGCCCTGACCCCAGGCCCCCACTTCCAGCCTTGTTTTCTGCCTTCCCGGAGAGCCTCATTAATCAATCAGCTCCAAATAAATGTGACAAGCCCAAATGGGAGGGACAACACAGAATCAATTTGCCCAGGCCAGCCTGTCCCTTGCCAGTGCTGAACCTCTGTCCACTCCCTTCTTCCCAGTGCAGCTGGCCACAACAACAGGAAGCTGTGGGGAGGCAGGGTAGGGTGGGAGTGGGGGAGATAATGGTCCAGGGTCAGAGACCCAGGTGTGTGAGCAGAGGGATACAGAGCCAGATGACCACTGCCCACACATGCCAGGTCTTGACCAGCTTCCCTCTTCTCCTGTCCCTCCAGGCCAGCCAGAGTGGGCTGAGCTCTGGTATGCTGTGCAGCTGTCCTGGCCTGGCCTCCACCCACCCTGTCTGCAGCTGCTCCTCACCTAGGATGATGCTGGCTCTTGGATGCCAACCTGGGGCTGAGCTAAAAGGGCTGCGGCAGTCAATTCCAAGGGCAAAGGAGGGAAATTTCATTCCCTTTACTTACAACACACTCAATCACCCACTTCCTCTGGCCCACCCCTGCCTGTAACCTCCCTCAATCCCCCCACATCTGTCGTGACTTCTCCCATCCAGCAGGAGGAAGACAGGCCTGCCACCCAGTTTGGCCTCCTGGGGCTACTCACCGTTCTCTGTGATGATCCGGGGCACCTCCTTGGCTGCGGGGGAATAACACTGGATCTGATTTCCTATCACCAGCCCATCCATCTCTGACAGGTCCTCAAAGGTGCAGTTGACGCCAGCTGATAGCTCCGGGACATTGTATGTCTCCAGGACCAGCTGTGAACAGCCGGGCAGGAGGAAAGAGAAGAGGAGAGGGGGTGGGGAAAGGAAGGGTGTGGAATAAAGGAAGAAAGTGGGTGAGCAAGAAAAAGAGACAAAGGAGAGGCCATATTGACATGGAGGTTGGAAAGATCCAGTTTGTTACGAGAGACGTAGGCAGGTAGCAGAACGACAAGAGAAGAAACCTCATCAGAATCCAAATGGATTTGGCCCTAGGAGGTAGGAATGTTGAGGGATTTGTGTGATCAGCGAGCTCCTCTTCCATTATTTCCAGTTTTGGAAAAATGGCAGCACCAGTCACCAAGGACCCAGTGTTAGAGCCCAGAAGCCATCTGTGCCCTTTCTCACACATGAAATGAAGATACCTTCCGAATGTCCTCGGCCATTCTCTAGGGTCAGCTCTGGTCTGATCATTGTCCTTGTCTTTCTACTCATTTGGAGTCAAGCCTCTCCCCCCAGTGCTCCTGTCCATGTGCCCTTCTTGGGTCCTTAATGAACCCTTAGATCTCCTACCCTCATCTAAGTTGCTCTTGCCAGCTGGACTTGGCCCAGCTCTCCTGAGGGTCCCCAGGCTCAGGTGCTCTTTGAAGGGGAGAGTTCTTCCCCAGACCCCAACCCCATTTTCCTTACCAGCACGTTGTACTGAGAGACGGAGATGTTGTTGGGGTGGACTGTGAGCCGGACACACTGCTTCATCTCTGAGGCAAACCTGCGGGGTTCCCTGGACCGCTCACACCTCTCCTTCCGGGTGCACCTGGAAAGGACATACTAATGGGCTACTGAGGAGGTGACCGCTGGGTCCAGGGAGGGGTCAACACTGAGGCCAGGTCTTTCCAGCAGTTCTCAGGATCTGTCCAAATTCAAGTGCCTAGAACTGACCATTACATTTCCTTCCCCAAGCCTGGTTCTCTTCCATCCTGCCCCAATTTGGGGAAGACGGTCACTTCTATCCCTATTGCCAAATGCAGAAACTTGACAGTTATCCTAAACTCTTCTTATCTCTTCTAAACTCAGGTGAAGAGCGGCACAGTCCTGTCTACTGGCTCTCCCTACTCCCTCTTTTGGCCAAAGAGAGATGGAAGCTGTCAGGAGCTTTTACAGGACAGGAGAGAGGGTTTAGTGGGAAACAGAGCAGCCAGGGTTGGCGCATCCACACCGGGAGGGGATATGGGCAGGCAGCATCTGTCTCAAGAGCAGAAGAGTGTGATGAGAAGGAAAGGGAGCAGCACAGGGATAACTGAGTGTCTCTTGGGGTAACTCTTGGCCCTGAGAAAAACCAATGCTCCCAGCTATGAGGAGAGAAAACACCCTCAACCACAGCACGAGAGCAGCCTGCGGTGAAGAAACACCCAAGAAGGGGAAGCCATGGGTGAACTAAAGCTTCCCTCCAAGGATGAGGAGGAATGGGGAGACACAGAGACAAAGAGGACCTTGGAGCAGGCTGGATGTGCAATGCCAAGTGAAAGCATCCCTGAAGCATGCAGCCATGACTTGAGTTAATCAGTGCTTGCTCGGTTCCATGACGAGGAGTTTACATTCTATGCCATTTAAGCCTGTGACAACACCATGACAAACCCACTTCAGGGATCAGCAAAGTGCAGAAGAGGGTAGTGAGTAACTTACCAGGTGGCCAGCTAATCAGATGAACTCTGAACCTCTGCTCCAGCTTCCGGAAGCTTCTAGACTGAGAAGTGGGAGACGGTCCCCCTGCTGCCGACTATACTTATGTTCCTTGTCATCCTGATGGCCCTATCATGTCCTGAGGACAGTTTCAACCTTTCTCCTCCATCTTTTTCTCTAGATGAATGGCTATTTCCGCCTCCTCCTGCAAAGCACTTTGAATATCACTGCCACTTGTTGGACAAAGCTGAGTTCTCCAGGAGGCTTCCAAGAGACTCCAACCCAGGAGGGAAAGGTCAGATGTGACTGCTCATGCCTGTGGCCCTCCGGGCTGCTCCAACAGACTGATGGCAACAAGCTTGTCTGCCTCCAAGTCTTGGAAGTTAATTTGCCAGGCCAACTGTTCTGCAAGGACTCCATTACCTTCCGCCATTAAGCTAATGTTCGGGGCTTTTCCAGAGTGTCTGTACTGACATGGCTATTAATAGTGTTATTACTCCCATTAAGAGCAGAACCAGAGAACTGGTACGGGCTTAAATTATTCACTGACTCCCCAACTTTGAAGTTCCTATTTTCAAGAGCAATCAGTAGGTCTGAAAAAAAATGCCTTTGATTAAATTATGGAGAGGCGAGAAAAAAAAAAATGAAGCTGTTTCTTGGCCAAACATCACCTGGAGTTATCAAATAAAGATTCAGATCGTAAAAGAGAAGACTCCATCTTTCTTTCAGGGTTGGGGGGCGGTGCAAAGATGTCTGGTTGGGGATCTTAGGAGAAGTCTAACCGGCATTGTTTGCTGCTTGCAAAGTTCTTGGGGCTGCATCCTGTCTCTGCCCCTGAGGCCCTCACCTAAGTACTCAGCAACTCTCCCAAATATAAGAAAGCCATGTGTAGTTTAGAGTTTCAAACATCCAAACTAGCTGTCATCTTGGCAAATTGCTTAACTTCTTGGTGCCTGTCTTCTCATCTATAAAACAGAGTCAAAATAGTACCTAATGGGATTTTTTTTTTTAAGGATTAAATGAGATTATGTTCTAAGCATTTAGAACAGGGCAGCGTTCAAAGTGAGTCCTCAATAAACATTCGCTAGTGTACATTAGCCCATCTCTTCTCTGCCTTCCCCACTCCAACCCTCCCGACTACAGCTGAAGCAGAAGCACTCATCTTGCAGACTAGTCCCCAAGGCAAATTAGAGAGAGAAGAAAGGCAGGGATGAGGCAGTCTTCCTCACAATGAGGGAGGAGAGCATCCAGGGACAAAGTGGTATGGATTGTAGCTTTGTTTTCTTAATAGCTGTCAAAGTGTATTGAGAACTCGGCTCTCTTGGTGGAAAGTCAGGTTTAAGGTCAGAGACAGGGAGGTTTTGACATTTCTACTATCCTTCAGGGCCCGGGAGGGTGGAGGCTGCCATGTCCAAAAGCACAGACAATTGACCTTAAATGTGATAGGATAATGGAGGGGAAGAATGCGTCCCTCCCGATGCCTTATGGGGTCTGTCAAGGTAATGGCCTTTTGCTTTTCTTCTAGAACTGTGATTTCCCATTAGCTCAGGCCAGAGCTGAGAAACAGGCAAAGGGTTAATTCATGACCCCAGGAGGGGCGCTGAGATGTTTCCTTTCAAGGGGCTCCAGGAACTTCTGAAATCAAGTCCCTCAGTTCCGCTGTAGGGTCAGCCTTGAGGAAGGAAGGACACTCTTGCTTCCTCCGTTTCCCAGGTAGGAAAACTGGGGCATCAATGGTCTAAGAAAATATATGCTGCATGACTCCGAGTTTTCAGAAATTGGTCTCTTCCGCCATCATTGTTAACCCTGCCCCAACCACAGGCAGGAGGAAGCCGGCCCCACAGAGACACACCAGGGCCAGAGTTGGCGTTCTTTCCTGCTGAATTCTTTCTTCCCTTCCTTATTCCCTCCTTCCCCCGGCGGCCCCTCCAGCCCCGGTGCAGAGGTACTAACAGCCCTGGAGGAGAAAGGCCCTGGGCCCCTGGAAGGGGTGATTATTCAAGTCAGTGGTTCCAATGAGATTATCCTCTCTAATGAAGCAGCTACCTCCGCCCTCCCCTAAGCCTGAACTTTCACTGCTGGAGAATTCCCAGCCAAGTGGAAAATTAGAAGAGAGAGGAATGGAGAAAGGAAGAGAGTGAGGGAGAGGGAGAGAAAGGGTGATTAAGTTCAGGAGAAATTAATTCCTAAATACAGAGATGGAAATATTAATACTCAGTGCTGCTGGCCAGGCAAACAAATTTCAATATGGAAGTGGGCTACCTGTGAGGCCAGCCTGGGTGGGCCTCCACACCGGGAGGCCCTCACTGGTGCATCTCCCCAGGCCCACCCGTGTGGACCTACTGGGCTTGGATATCAGGACTTGCTCCTTCTTCACAGATGATCCCCAGTTCCCAGGGCTTCACATGTGCCATGGCCTGAGCTTCAAGTGCACCAGTTGGGTCTTCTGTGCTTACAATGTAAGGAAACAGAAAAAGAAAGGGGACGTGGGGAGGGTCCTTCCCAAATGGACATGATGGACAAGTGAAGAGGGTTTGGAATGCCTGCTCAGCAGGAGATCATGGGAGACTCTTCAGCCATTGGCATCTCATCTGGAGCCCTTGGAAAGGAGAAAGACTGGTTTCCTAAATGTTGCCCTTGCCCTCTTCAGGAATGCCCATAGAGAAGGGCAGGTGCATCTGTGGCTTGGAGGAAGGTGGACTAGATAGTACAGGGAACGCTTCTAGGAAGATGGATGTGAAAGAGGGTCCTTTTATGAAGGATGTGGACCAGGTGAGTCCTTTCAAAGTCAGAATCCTAAAATCCAGTGACGGACACCAGGATCGCATGGAATTCTGCGTTGTTAACTTGTTCCCCTAAATACTGAGGATAAATCCCAGCACAGGAAGACTGAGGCAACGCTTTAATTTTCCTTCTACCACCAGCTGCTGGTGACTGAACCTACCAGCCCTTGGCCATTGCTGCAGATCCAAACTCAGCCTGAGCCACAACTGCTATTGGATTCATCCAGGCCTCCTGCAGGAGGAGAGCTCAGGACTCAATAGGAACCAGAAGCTGCAGGGGCTAAGTGGAGGCCATTCTGGGCTCATGTAGCAACCAAGTGGTCCTGCCTTAATTCTATCAGCTCTACTGGTGGGCTGGCTGCCTGTGTCAAGAAGCCATGCTCTGCCCTGGGGTCCAGGGTGGGTTCTTGCCTTGGCCACCTCTCAGCCTTCAGTCAAGAAACACACACACCCGCCCCACAACCAGCATCCTACACTGGGCCACATAGTGTGGAGCAGTCACAGCGAAAATTGCTTCCCTGCTCCAAGCCTGGTGACGTTAATGGACCAGACTGTTGGATAAAGTGCAGGTGAAGCAGATCAGAATCAATCAGAGTAATTGTTAGAAAGTGTCTCAAGTAATAGGCACATCCTCTCCCTTACTGTGTGCACTAGAAGGAGAATGGATGAGCAGGGAGGCACCCTGGCCTTCTCCTCCTTCTCTTTGTCTCCTTCTCCTCCCTTCCTCTCCTCTAACTCTCCCTACTCCCGCGCCACTCCCCACCTCTCCCATCCTAACCTCTCCTGAACCATACGAGAAATAAATTGTCCACACTGTGCTCCCTACTGACCAGAGAAGAGGGAAACGACCCCATTCGCCTTCTCTTTGGGTAACCACTCAGTATATCAGCATCCTGGCTAATCCATTCTCTTTCTAATCCACACAGTACCCAAGAGGATGTGCTTATTACTTGAGACACTTTCTAATAGTTACTCATCCGCTCTGCAGGATGTCCACAGGGAGTCAAGGCTTAGGGAAGGGGGATCACTCAAAGTGCAAGTGGACCGCAGGACTTTTCCAATTCATATGAGAAGATGGCACTTTTGATTTACCATCTTTTAGTATCTTTGGGATCAGAGGCTAACAACTTTGAGCATAACGTCAGGAAAGAACACTGTCATGGTTTAGATAGGAGGCATCCCTCAAAGGCTCACGTGTGACACAAGGTAAGATGCCTTAGAGGTGAAATGATTGGATTTTGAGAGCCTTAACCTAATCAGTGCATTAATCCACTGATTGGGATTAACTGGGCGGTAACTGTAGGCAGGTCGGGGGTAGAGAGGAGGTGGATTTCTAGAGAGGAGTCTATGG